CCCCCCCCCCTCCCCTGTCTGTCACCCAGGCACATACATACATTCACTTCACTGCAGCAGAAAGCTACTCACGCATAGCGTTCCATCCATCCATCCATCCCCCCTCCACCCCCACCCCCTGTACAAACAGACACACGACGACCGGCCTGCCTACCATCGATCTCTCTCAAGCTCTCTCCGCCCATGTGAAACTGTACGCAGCCATGTATCTATGTATGTGTGTGCATTAATGGGAATGAAAGGCGCGTCTATGACCACCAGGGGGTCTCGCCGGAGTGGAAGTCCTCTTCACTCTTCTTCCACTCCTTGAACACTATCTGCACACACATACACATACACACACACAGCCACGAGCATGCATGCATGCATGCATGTGTGTTGTGTGTTCTCTGGCGGTGGGTGCGGTGGGCTTACCCCTCCCTTATCGTCGGATTCCACGTGAGCAGGGCGAGCGACAGAGGGGCGGGGCCACGCGCAACCTGCACACACCCATCCACCCGTGTCAAATGTCTGCATGACGCTCCATCATCAAAACATCGGTGGTGGTTCGCCGACCTTTCCGTTTGTGTCGTATTGGGATCCGTGACACGGGCAGGTGAACTTGTTCTGCGCGGCGTTCCACGGCACCACTGCACGCACCCGAGGTGCGTGCACACCGCGTTGATGCCCAAGTCCTTCACGTTCGTCTTCGTCGTTGGTCACAAGATAGTACGCATCCCCTGCACACCCACACACACAATCCACCCCTGCCACCACAACCACAACCCACCCCCTCTCTCTGTGCGCACCCTTGATGCCCTCCCTGGACGAGCTCCCTCTCGCCCGCATTGTGGCTGGCAAGCCACTGCTTGACCGTCACCTGGTTGCCCACTCTGTCCTGTCAAGCGCCGGCACACCGGCGCCCGCGCCGCCCTTGTTGCTTGGCGGCTTGCAGGATGGGCACGTCGACCGCTCCCAGTGTGAGGGAGGAGATTTAGGATGTTGGTTGCGCCTGTCCATGTCGACGGTGCGCCGAGGCTCTCCTCGCCGGCGGTGGCCATCAAGAGGGTCTGTCTGGCCCCGTGCTTGGCCAGGCACAGGTCAGATCACGTCTGCACCACTGCGTTGGACAGGCCACTGCTGCCGCTGATCGAAGGGGGTGGGGGGGACGAAGGCTGATGTGTCACGCTGCTGCCGCAGGCAGAGAGGCACTCAGACCTGAGATCACCATGACACAAATCACAAACAGACAGGCAGATCAACCCACGGATATGCACAAGACATTCACATGTGCGTGTGGTTGTGTGTGTGTGCGGTGACCTCACCAGTAGCCACGAGGCAGAGAATCACGGCACCCACGAGTGAGTTCATCTTCAAAATCACCGATCCATCCACGCGTTAATTGCGGCAGAGATCTGTGCTGCCGGTGGCCCGTCCTGTCCTGTCGTGTGCAGTCTTCCCTTTGTCGTGGCGCAAGGCTCCTTTTGACTCGCTCACCAGCCGGCGGGCAAAGTCGATCACTGCCTTTTGCGAGCTTAGCCACGAGGCGTAAATTCCCCAGCCGCCATGTGTTGGATCCACGTGTCGCTACCGTACTGACACCGGGTTGGTTAGTGTCTGTTACGGTTTATAATATATATGTGCTGATTTGATTTTGGTGTCCCGCTGTCAGTCAGCCAGTGCGTTGTCAATTGCGTTGTCTGATTGTCCGGATCCATTTGCTGCACATGGCCAACCTCTACGACTTCTACGTCAACGAGTGCTGGTGGCCATGTGGTGACGGCGCGCCGACGGAAGTGCCCCAGGAGGGTCCCGCAATGCGGCGGATCATCTCCTACTGGGCCCGTGTGCAGCCGTCCGTCAATGCCGTCCGCTTCATCAAGGTGGACGGATCGGTGGAGTCGGCCCTCAGCTATCAGGAGCTGCATCGGCGGGCCGAGGCGCTGGGGCGGCAGCTGCTGCAGATGCTGGATCGGGGTGAGGATGGCAAGCCTGCGTCGGTGCTGCTGTGCTACCCCCCGGGCATCGACTTCGTCGTGGCCTTCTTCGCGTGCCTGTACAGTGGGGTGGTCGCCGTGCCTGTCTACCCTCCTGACCCTTCCAAGGTCAGTCAGTCTAGGCAACCACCACGGGAGGGACACATACATACGACCACTCGGGTGGGTGGTGGCCGCACGTTTGTGTGTTCATGTCTGTCTGTCTGTCTGTCTGTCTGTGTGTCATTGTTCTTTCTTTCAGTTGAGCACGGACCTTCCCCGTTTCACGCGGATCGCTTCGACGGTCAAGGCGCAGGCGTGCCTGACCAACAACTTCTACCAGCGCATTCTTCACGGCCTCAACTGCAAGCTGAGCCTCCACAGCCAGCGCCCCTCCTCGTCCATCGCCAGCCATCTCCAGGCACCCCTCGCATCCAACGGCCACTCGCACACGCAGCCGCCGGCCGCCAAGGAGAACGAGCTGACCGACGAGGTGCGCAAGGAATGGCGCAAGCTGCGGTGGTCCAGCTCGCAGGAGCTCATCGACAGGGCCTCCAAGAACAGCCACGGCCCGTCCCTCCCCCCTCTCCCCTCCGACATCCCCCACAGCCAGGTGGCCTTCCTGCAGTTCACGTCGGGGTCCACCAACCACCCCAAGGGCGTCTCGGTCACACACGGAAACCTCCTCCAGTAAGAGAACAGGCTGTGCACACGATGGATGCGTGCCGTGACGGATGGATGCATTCACTGTGAATGCACTGTCTATGTCCTTGTGTTGTGACTTTTTTAGCAACGTGCACCTGTGCACGGCCACCTTCGGGATGGACCCGCGAGACGATCACCGCACCAAGCACGACCTCAGGAAGGACAGCGGAGGGGAGGGCAACGGCAGCGAGGAGGCCTTCGTCCCGCTGTTTGATCGCCCGTTGCGCGAGTTCGTGACATTTTGGTACAACAGGCACAGTCAGTCACGGAGTGTGCTGGGGCACAACGTACGCACGTTTAGCTGGCTGCCGGTCTATCATGACCTGGGTAGGCATGCATGGATGCAGTGAGTGAGTGAGACGATGGACGAACTGAATGAAGCACACACAACCGACAATTCATCTCTCTCTCTCTCCCTCTCTCTCCCTCTCCCCTTTCTTACCTTTCTTATCATCAGGTCTGATTGGTCTTGTTGGTGGCACGTTGTTCTTCGGCAGCGAGATGATCATGATGTCCCCGCTGGATTTCGTGCGGCGGCCCTGGTCGTGGCTGCAGGGCCTAACCAAGTGGGAGTGCGAGGTCACAGCCGCACCCAACTTCGCCTACGACCTGGTCAGCCGCAAGACGCCCGAGGACATTAGGAAGTCCCTCGACCTCAGCAAGGCGTCCTGGCTGTGCGGAGCAGAGCCCATCAGATACTCGTCCATCAAGAACTTCATGGATGTGAGTGAGCCACCGATGGATGGCCAGGCCACTATCTCATGTGTCAGTCATGTCTATCTATGTGCATATATGTGTGTGTGCAGACGTTTCGGGAGGTTGGCGTGCGCCACAGCGCCTTCTTGCCTGCATTTGGGTTGGCCGAGAACACCCTGTGTGTCACCGGCTTCCGGCCATCCCTCGACGCAGAGCCGCTGGTGCTCTCGATCAACGCTCTAGAGATAGAAACCAACGTAGGATGCATGCACGCATCGCATCGACGGACGGACACGTGTGCGCATCGCGTCTGATTTGCATTCATTTACCGTGTATGTATGTGCATGTGTCTGTCCATCAGGGCAACGTTCGGATTGAGGAGGAGTGGTATGGATTCCGCCCCAGCTGGACAGACACGTCCGAGCGAAAGATCATCATCGGCTGCAGACTCCCTGCCACCGACACTACTGGTATGCCCACACACACACACAGACAAGCCCACTGAGTTGCCCTCATGTGCTCTCTCTCTTTTTTCCTTCATCCATCCATCCATCAGTTGCGATAGTGGATTCGTCCACCCACCACCTGCTTCCCGAGGGCCAGGTGGGTGAGGTGTGGCTGTCGTCTCCCTCTACGGCCAAGGGCTACTTCGGCATGGCGGAGCAGACCCATCAGACGTTCCGGGCCACCCTCTCGGGCACCACCAACGCACCCGAGCAGCAAGGGCCCTTCCTGCGGACCGGCGACACCGGCTTCCTCTACAAGGGCGAGCTCTTCATCGCCGGCCGCGCCAAGGACATGATCATCGTCAGGGGGCGCAAGTACATCCCTCAGGACATCGAGGAGGCCATCGAGGCCAAGTGTGACGTCGTGCGACCCGGCTGCTGCGCGGCCTTCCCCGTGGAGAGCGAGCAGGGAGAGGGCATGGGCATCGCATGTGAGCTGCGGCCGGAGGGGGTCAGGGCGCTGGCCATGGCGGGTGGGGCCAAGGGGAGCAGCAAGAGGGCGAGCAGGCGGCACTTTGGCGGGTTTGGTCGGTTTGTGTCGATGCTGGCGTGCACGACGGATCGCCATGGCGACAAGGACGCGGTGCTGCGGACGATCGCAGAGGAGGTGGCCCGTGCGGCGAGCATGAAGGTGGGTCTGCCCGTGCAGCAGATCTGGCTGCTCAAGCCGCGCGTCCTGCCCAAGACCACCTCGGGCAAGTTGCAGCGGAGCAAGGCCAAGCAGATGCTCCAAAGAAGTCGGGCCAACGGCAAGGGCGGCGTCATGTGGTGCGAAGACCTCTGCACGGCAGCAGCACCAGCAGACACCGTCGTCAAGACCGCCAAGTCCACGCCCCGCAACGCGCCCTGCCCGTCGGTCCTCACCGACGCCTCGACACGGTCCCTCTCCACCCTCACCCCCTCCACCCTCACCCCCTCCAGCTTCCGCTCCTCCACCGACACTCGTGCCTCATCCGTGCAGCCCACATCGCCCACCGACCCGTTCCGACCCTCATCCACCAACGACACGGGCAAGACCGCCCTGGCCGACTCCCTGGCGTCCGTCGCCCACTCGGTGGTGGGTGGGGAGGAGCGGCCGTCGCCCTCCGGCAGACTGCTCGATCTGGGCCTCGACTCGATCGGCATGACCGAGTTCAGCGAGCACGTGCGGCGGATGACGGGCATCGACATGCCGCCCTCGTCTATGTTCGACAACCCCTCGCTGGACGCTTTGGCTGGGCAGCTGGTGGCCAAACGTGAGCAGGAGGGCGTCATGGAGCCCATCGCCCCCTTCTCGGGGCACAGGGACGGCGCCACCAACAACACCGAGAGCAGCGGCTCGAACGCGACGGACGACGGCACCACTAGGAAGAGGGACCCCGAGACGGACGTCAACAAGGTGGCCAAGAGCTTCAAGTTCGACGTCGCCTCCCTCCCTGCCCCCCACCCACAACCCCGCAAGAGCAGACACGTGCTCGTGACGGACGCGACGTCAGCAGTGGGCCGGTTCCTCACCGTGGCGCTGCTGCAGGCCAAGGAGCGGCTGACGGTGCATTGCCTGGTGCAGACCAACAGCGACGAGGAGGGTCTGCGGCAGGTGCGTGAGGCGTGCCAGGAAGCGGGCATCTGGAAGGACGAGTACCAGAGCCGGCTGATGATCGTGCCCGGCCACGTGACGCGGCGGCATCTCGGCCTCAAGCCCAACCACCTGGCCGAGCACTTCTTTGCCGAGCTGTGCGAGCGGATCGACCTGGTCTTCCACACGGGCTTCGCCAACGGCCAGTCGTTCATGCAGAGCTACGACCGCCTGCGCGAGAACACCTTCGCGATGAAGGAGATCGTGCGGCTGTGCACCACCAGCAAGCTCAAGCCCCTCCACTTTGTGTCGTCCCTCACCCTCTTCCCCGAGTACGTCCTTGGCCAGGGCAAGGAGCTCCGCGAGGCCACCACCCTCGACACCAAGCGCCTGCGCGAGGTCTGCCCACCCGAGCAATTCGGCCTCCCGTGGACCAACTGGTCGACGGAGCAGGTGCTCAAGAAGGCGCGGGCGAGGGGCCTGCCGTGCACCATCTACCGAGTGCCGAGCGGCATGACGAGCCTGATGACGGGCTACGTGGACGAGAGGCACGTGGGCGGGGCGCTGATGATGGCAATGCTCGAGGAGGGGGAGATGCCGCCCGTCGTGAAAGCGCCTCTGGCGACCCCCGTGGATGTCGTCGCTGCCATGATGGTATGGTGAGAGGAGAGAGTGTGCCTAGACGAGTGAGGGAGTGAGTGGACGCGATGCATTCGTTGTTCTTGTGTCCATGTCGTGTCTGTGCAGGTCCGGCTGTGTTTGACCGAGAAGCGTCGCCATTGGGTCTACCATCTCGCCAACCCAGAGCTCATCACCAAGTACGGACACAGCACAGCACACACTAGAGAGAGACAACACGGAGGGAGGGCGGAGTGCATTCGTTGTTTGTGTGTACCTACCTGTTTGTTTGTGGACGATCAGTTCTGAGCGCGAGCATTGGCTCGGCGACTTGGGTGTGCCGCTGAAGTCGGTGTCGGTGGACCATTTCCTCGCCACCATCAAGAAGAGGGGCGCGGCATCACCTCTCTACCCACTCATGCCACTCGTACACGTACGCACGCCACCGAAGCACACACACAAACCAAACCACGAAGTTCCCTCCACACACATCCCTCTTTCTGTCTGTCTGCAGCGCTTTACCTCTCACTGGTGCCCCCCACACGAGCCCCGCGACCACCTGATGATCTCCACGGCCCATCTGCAGGAGGATCTGAGGCGCGCCGAGTGGCCCAGTGCACACGACCTCTTCATCTCGTGTGCGTCTGGCGAGCAAGGCCGAGCAAAGGTGTCCCCCCGAGCACTCGAGCGGGCCATTGAGTTGAGCAGGCAGTTGTCGATCCTGATGCGGGTGGACGAGTGCGACGAGGAGTGAGTGATGGTGGGTGATGAAGGATATGATCGATCGATCGCATGCATGGCATGCGTGGCCGATGGATCGATCGCAAGTGGATGTGATGTGATAGCGTGGATGGATGGATGGATGGATTGCCATATGGATGTCTGACATATACCTGTCGACCTGCCTGCTGTTCTGTGCTGTGGTGTCATCGTTTTGTAACCGACACTTGGCGACTGACTGACTTACTGACTTACTGACTGACTTATTGACTGACTATTTGGGTGGGTGGGTGGTGGTGTGTGCGTTAGTGAGTGAGTGACGTGGATGGTTTATACACATGAATGAGTACGTGAGCACATGTGTACATACGTACATACGTATGTACATGCCCCTATGGATGTGCTACACTATACTACTACGTGACATTTGCATGAGTGTGAGTGTGCGTGCGTGGGTCCGCAGTTGTATGCATGCATGCATACATGCTATTCATTTGATTTGATGTCTCGTGCAGGGGGGCGGGGCGAGGAGGAAGTCAGCAGGTGAGTGAGTGAGTGAGGAGCAAGTCGATAGATATCACATGTGTGGGGTGTGTATTTTGCGTCATGGGGCCACATCGCATATATCACACCATCGCACACACACACTCACACACTCACACACAAGGGGCGGGCGAGCGAGGGAAGACAAGTTGTGCATTCGTTGTGTCGACCCACCAGCCCACCGCACCGACCTACATATTTCTCCATCTTTCTCGTTCGTGCCGTTGTCATTGTGTACCCATATATATATATGCTGACCGGCATACACACTCACACTCATCTGTATCATTGCTATTCGTGGCTGTGTATAATGTGTACACACAGCCACCGCACAAGAACCGTGACGAGCGAGCGAGCGAGCAAGCGAGACATGTTTGTTGTGTCACGCCTCACCGCACACTCTTTTTCCGCCTCCATCTGTTTCTCTCACTCATCTCCCACGCCCGGCATCTGTCTGTCTGTCTGTCTGTGTATGTCGACCGATAGATACTCAGGCGGCCAGACAGCTGGGTGACTACGATGCTCTCTCTCGCTCGCTCTCTGGTTGATGGTTGTTGGTTGGTTCGTAGGAGTCGATAGGACCCCTAGCTTACTGACATGGATCCGTCCATTCGTCGTAACTTTGTTGTTGGTTTGTTGGCCATTCATATTTCGTTACTCACAGCAGATGGGATGGATGGTGCATTGGATACGTACACCCACCGCCCACCTAACTTTTTCGCTCGTCGCTCCCTCTCTCTCTGCTGCCCATGGTGTGTGTGTCGTGTCGTGTCGTGTCGTGTCGTGTTGTCGCGCTGGGTTGATTGATTGGTTGGTTGGTTGTGTGTCGCTGCTGATGGTGCAATTAAGCGTACGCACGTACGTGTAAGAGGGAATAGTCCTCCTGCTGGCAGGGTTTCTCGCTCACTCACTCACTCACGTGCTCACGTGCTCACCATGCCTGGATGCACTACTTACAGACATGTACATGTGCATGTGCCGTGCGAGTATACAGAAGTACAGATGATATACATAATGACATGACCATACATACACTCTCTCTGTGCTGTGCTGTGCCTTTACCCCTCCCCCCTTTGATACCTGACATGACATGAATGATATGCATGCATGAAAGAATGCCCTTAGTGCCAGACCGGCTGCGGCCCTCATCGCCCACACATATGTACACGCCACGACAGACAGACAGCACGCAGCAAAGCCTTGATTGCATGGAGGCTCTTTTCGTCTCTTTGGATAGCTCCCCACCCACATCAGGTAGGGACCAATCAAGCAATCTTGTCGTGGATTTTGGCCTCTAGTTGTGTGTGGATGGATGGATGGCTAGTCGGTCGGTCGACGGATGGATGGATGGATGGCGAATGGATGCACGCACTATGCTTTTTTCGCTTTTTCCCACTTTGAAATGGCTTGATTGCACACGTCTACTGTCAATGGTTGGCGGCTGTCTCTCTCTCCCCGATGACCCCCAACTGCTGCACTCTCCCCTTCCCCCACTCACGTGTACACACAAACCACATGGGTGATTTCGCATGTCTGAATGATCGGATGGACACACATGACGAATATCTGGGATGGATGGATGGATGTCTGTGCGTGAAAGACGGAGAGGTGGGGAATCGCACACGTTGGCGGGCTGGCAGGCTCTTGACTTGACTGCACCCCTATGCCGTTTTTGGTTCGAGTGTATCTAATCTGTCTGCCTGTCTGCCCGGCCTGTTCGTGGTGTGCATACTGGGCTGGGCTGAGAGGGAGAGATGGAGGGGGGGGCATGTATGGATGTATTGCGGTGTGAGTCGGCCGGGCAGATGAAGAGGGATAGTGTATCTAGTCTGTCTGTCTGTCTCCCTGTCTGTCTGCCCGGCTGTGCGTACGAGTCTATTGATCGCTCCATTCGCTGTTGCCGGCCTCTTTCGGCCTGTGCACCCGTTCGTGCCATTAGATGAGGGTGTGGGAGGGTGGGGGGAGCAGGTATCTTGTTTTTGTTCATTTGTGTCTCTCTCTCTCTCTCTATATCGCTGTCTGTCTGTCCGTTTGTCTGTCTGTCTGTCTGTCTGGGTGTGTCCTGAACGTGTTTATTGTCTTTGTTAATCTGTGTCCGTTTGTCCGTCTGTCCGTCTCTCTGTCTCTCTACATCGCTGTCTGTCTGTGTGTGTCCTGAACGTTTAAGCAATCGATCGATTGAGCGAGGCTGTATGTTGATCTCTTCTGGCTAGCGAGGCGAGCAGAGCCAGGTAAGTAATTGAACCTGCCTGCCTGCATGGCTCCCATCTATCTGATCTATGCGGGCGGGCCGGCCATGCGCATCAACCGAAAGACACCCTCTGACTGACCTACTCTCTGCTGAATGGGCACTTCCTTTCATCTTGCGCTGTTTTGACCTGTCTGCGAATGTGTGCATGCGACTTTTTGTCATGGGATTGTCGTTGCTGCATTGTCTCTATCTGCGGTTGTTTCTTTTAACGCGGTTTTTGTTTATGTCGCTAATTTTGTCGTGCTGTTTCTATCGTGCGTCTGGCTGAGTCCCTCTTGCTGTCCGCTTGTCTAGCCGCCTTTCTTTCTCGGTGCCCTTCTGTCATTCTTCGCTCTCCCGACGTCTCACAGCCGCTGTTCCATCTCTTTTCTCCTCTTTCTATGCCCCTCTCTGTTTGTCAGCCTCATAATCTTTGCATCTCTAGGCTCCCTTTTCCTCGCTACTCCTTCCCCATGGTCATGGGTTTGGGGACAGACAGGAAACAGACAGACTGAAGGGTGGGGCCTCTCTGATTGATTGTTGGTTTGGATGGATGGATGGGTGGAGTGGAGTGTATCGATATTGGTTACTCGAGTGTATCAATGAGTGGCTGCCCTATACCATAAACCCTAAGCCGTTTTTTGTCGGTCATTTCGGTGCATGTTGGGAGGTGTGTTCGAGCCCCAGCGGGGTCAGCTGAGGAACGCATGCGCTCGTGTGGCCAGCCAGGGCTGCGCAGCCTGGCCATCGGCCTGTGCGTGTCCGTGTGGGTGTTGTGTGCATGATGACACACGGTGCATGGATCCATGCAAGGACCAATCAATGAAGGGATGAGCCTTCAGATACACACGTATATGGACACAAGTCTGTGCCGTCCACACCATGTATCCCATCTGTCAGTAGTCGCAACACGCGCACCACCATCGATGACCAATCTAGCCATCAGCAAATGATAAGGGAAGAGAGAGAAAACCCACTCGCCCACGACGCAGTCGGGTCAGGAATGCACACGGCGAACATGTGCCCACGGCACCATGAAACGCCAGATCTCCGTCGCCATCATGTGCGCCAATCGCCATGATGCTCAGAACCACCATCCCGACATGTGCTCCACGCACCATGACCAAGATCTCCTCCAGAACGCCTCACTAACGTGGCAGGGACCATAGATCTGACAGAGAAAGCACTCCGTGCTTGGCCTCTCGTGGCCCTCCAGCGCCCCCTCCCCTCTCTTATCGCCACTAGCCTGCACACCACACAAACACGACCTGTACACAGCTATCGAAGGAGGAACTACCTCCTCCAACGCTGACCGACCACCTCAGCCAGAGAACTACCCCAGCACGACGCCTCCCGCCCAGACCAAGCCAGATCCTTCATTACCACCACGCCGGAATCGCGGTGCCTTCCGGCCTCCGCCACCACGTGTCCACCACGAGATGGTCCATCTCGGTCACCACCGGCGCTTCATACCTCAGATCTGGCTTGCTGCCTCAGCCTCACGTGCCTGCCTTGGTGGTGGTTGGGTCCGTCATGTGTGTATTACCGTATGGGTGTCAGGTTCGTGACGACGGGGAGAGCCTCCAGGCGCCAGTGTTGCGGAATGATGGGTGGAGAAAGTTATTCGCACCCTAGAGCCATGCGAATGCGAATGCGAAGTAGAGGATAGATAGATGGACGGTTAGCGGCCGCTACTACACAGGGACAGCTTGGTCTGGCTACTACACACGGAGACAGCCTCCACGCCAGACGCGAGCACCTAGGCTTTGCCGAAGGATCCTACTAGGGTTTGTTAGGTCCCAAACCCTCGTCGCATCCATCTCAACCGCCACCGGGCACCAACTCGCAACGGCTCTCAGGCGCAACCCGCCCTCGCAGCGTTCAACCGACAGAACGTCCATCCAGGCAAACACACACATGTGCAGACAGCCCCTGTCGAGCGCCGAGGATAAAAGGGTCATCACTCGGTCTGCCAGGTGAGCACCAGTGGCTCGTTGGTTCTGCAGCAGTGTAGCAGAAACGTCCCCTCCCCTCTTTGGTGTGTGGTCTGTGCACCCAGGAGCGATAGCAGCTACGTGGACGCTGTGGCCTCCCCGCTTGACTTGGTGGACGCCAAAGAGGACCTGCCAAAGGTGGGTGCGATATATGCAGAGGGAGGCGAGCAGAGTAGGGGGAGGGCGTCAGTCATCAGTCAGTGCAGTGCACATGACATGTCCGTGTGTGTGTTCCCAGGTGCCTACGGTGAAGGAGATCTTTGACGCCATCCCCCCCCACTGCCGCCAGAGATCTGCCGTCACTGGACTGGTCAGTCAATGAGCATAGCGCCCAGCCACCACCACCACCGACAGACACATCTATCTGGTGTGCGTGCCGGGCCGTGCCGTCGTGCAGTTGTACCTGAGTCGCGATGTGCTCTTCCTGGCGGTGACTGCATGGCTGACGTACCACCTCGTCCCGCTGGTGTGCGGCCACAGCTGGGTGTTGAGGACACTCGCGTGGATCACATACGCCATCGTGCAAGTGAGTGAGCCAGGCACACACACTTACCACCTACCATACAGGTAACCGCACCATGATGCTTGCTGATGACGCTGGTTGATGTGATGCAGGGCACGATAGCGTTCGGTCCGTGGAGCATTGCGCACGAGTGTGGTCACGGAGCGTTCTCTGAGTCGACGGCCATCAACGACACTGTGGGGTTCCTAGTGCACAGCTGTCTGCTGGTGCCCTACTTCAGCGGGCAGTACACACACGCCAAGCACCACAAGTTCACCAACCACATCACGCGCGGCGAGTCGTACACACCGGAGCTCAAGGATGAGGTCCACTCGCCAAACAACACATTCCAACTCACCAAAATGGCGTAAGACAACAAACAAACAAACAAACAAACGAACACGCTCACACAAGCTCATTCCCATTCTCATGATACATACGGTTGCCCATTCATTCCTCTCTCATCTCAGTGACTTGATTGGTGAGGATGCGTTCGCCATCGTAGAGATCGTGTTGTATTTCATCATGGGCTACCCCATGTACCTGACGTCGACCGTCGGGGGCGGCCGCGTCAACTGGAGGGGCGAGCCCCTCGACGCGGCCAATGGTCCGGTCAGCCATTTTTACGGCCCCGACAACGAGAGGTTCCCGCCGCACTTCAGATGGAAGGTGACGGCATCGGGGCTGGGGTGCGGGGTCGTCATCGCCGCAAACATCATCTGGGGGGCCATGACGTCATGGTGAGGGAGGGAGGGAGGGAGGGAGGGACGGGCTGGTCGATGGACTGACTGATGGCAATCAGTGGGTGGATGTGTGTGTGTGTGTGTGTGCAGGTGGCTGCCGCTTCAGTGGTATGTGGGTCCGTACCTCGTCGTCAACGCATGGCTGGTGCTCATCACGTGGCTCACACACACACACCCTGGTATGAGAGACGAACAGGCAGACAGGCAGCCAGGACTGTGGATGTCTCTCTCTATCGGTTCCCTCCCTCTGTACGTACGTGTTGACTTGAGTGCAGATTGCCCGCACTATGGCGACGATGCCTTCACGTGGCTGCGGGGCGCTCTGTCGACCATCGACCGTCCCTACCCCTGGGTGGTGGATGAGCTGCACCACTACATCGGCAGCACACACGTCATGCACCACCTCGATCCTAAGTATGATGTATACACAGACACACCTAAAGCTAGCTAGTGGAAAACAAACGACATGACCGTCTGTGGAGTGAGTGAGGCTGTGTGTCCCTCTCTCTGTCTGTGCATTGTTTGTAGGATTCCCTTTTATCACGCCAAAGAGGCGACGGTGGCGCTCAAGAAGCTGCTGGGGCCGCTGTACAGATACGACCCGACGCCCATCTGGAAGGTGCGGGGACATTACGCACGCACATGCACAGTCATGCATACATCGTGTGTGTGTCCTGCAGGCGTTGTTTGTGACGGCCCGCACCTGTCTGTATGTGGACAAGTTGGAGGGCATTCAGTTCCACAAGAGCATCGACCACCTCAAGCAGGACAAACATGATGCGCGCCAAGGTGGTCAAGAAGACCACTGCTGCGGCACGCGACCGGGACGCACTCAGGGCTAGACTCGCCAGCGGCGGATGAGAGAGAGATGAGCAGCCGAATTCATACGTGTGCGCGTGTGCGCGCGCGTGTGTGTGAGGGGAGGCCTCTGTGTGTGTGGGGGTGAGTGCGGTGCTTTTTTGTTTTGATTTCTTTATGATCATTGCATGGATGGATAGTAGCGTCCATGAGAGGCAAGCTTTGCCTTTTTGGCCTCTAGTTGTGTGGATGGATGGATGGATGGCTAGTCGGTCGGTCGACGGATGGATGGATGGCTGGCGAATGGATGCACGCACTATGCTTTTTTCGCATTTTCCCACTTTGAAATGGCTTGATTGCACACGTCTCCTGTCAATGGTTGGCGGCTGTCTCTCTCTCCCCGATGGCCCCCAACTGCTGCACTCTCCCCCTCCCCACTCACGTGTACACACAAACCACATGGGCGATTTCGCATGTCTGAATGATCGAATGGACACACATGACGAATACCTGGGATGGATGGGTGGATGGATGGATGACTAGCTCACCTCGTTGTGCATCCATTGTGCCTGACCGGCCGACCGACGGACGATGGTTTATTTACCGTGGTGCTGTGGTGTGGTGTGGTGCTACATGGATGGATGGATGGATGGACCGACCTGTCTCGTGGGCTGCTGCTGCTGCTGCTGCCTGCACTCGTGAGGCACACCCATGGATGGATGGATGGATGTCTGTGCGTGAAAGACGGAGAGGTGGGGATTCGCACACGTTGGCGGGCTGGCAGGCTCTTGACTTGACTGCACCCCTATGCCGTTTTTGGTTCGAGTGAATGCGTGAGTGCGTCCGTGTGGATGACCGCTTTTGTGTTTTGATTGAGGTGAATTCGCGGGGGAGGGAGGGAGGGAGGGAGGGAGGGAGAGAGGAGGGAGTGTGTCTTATGCTTACTCAAATATGCCAGCCAGGTGGTTTGGTCGGCAGGTACCACTAGTCAGTCGTGGGAACAAAGGGAGGGAGGGTGGGGAGCGGGGGTGCTTGACTGACACGAGAATGGATGGATGGATTGCTCTCTCTGCCCGGCCTGTTCGTGGTGGGCTGAGAGGGAGAGATGGATGGGGGGGGGGGT